AACTCAAAACCACCCTTAAATTCAAGACACTGTCAACCATAATCCAAGATCATCCTTAAATTCTATATATTTTCAAGTGTAACTCAAAACCACTCTTAAATTCAAGATACTTTCAATTATAATTCAAAACTAGCCTTAAATTCAAGATACTTTCAAACCCTCCTTAAATTCCATATATTTTCAACTGTAATCCAAAACCACCCTTAAATTCACGGTACTGTCAACCATAATCCAAGATCACCCTTAAATTCTATATATTTTCAAGTGTAATTGAAAACCACCTGAAACTTCAAGATACTTTTCACCCATAGTCTGAAACCATTTAACAATTATCACACACAATCACTTAAACTCCGAACAAGCCAGAAATCACTTCAAACAAAGAACTCTTCAAACAAAGAAGATGGATTATTTATATTCTCTCCGTTCGATCAAACTTACGTTGGACGTTCGTTCTTTCTTTTTCAGAAGCGCCAAACTACCGATGAGGAACACGAGGACGCGTGTGCTGACGGCACACACACGGACGCACGTTTTATTGACATGGGGTCGCGTGCACACGTGCGACGAGCAACTGTCCGCACCCCGGGTTTGCCTCGAGGTATGCGGGGGCAGCCACCTCGATACCGATCCATACGCCCGTGGCGTAGAATAAAATCTCATGGCGTCTGCGTGGAAACCCTTCCACCCCTCGATTTTCCTCGCTCTACCTCCTCCATTCGTTCTATAACCCTGAACGACTTTCATTCACTAAGGTCTACTATGCATGACATCATTTTTTACAGAAGTCTTGTTGACACAGGTAAGTGTGACATAATATGATGAAAGAAATCTTGATACATGATAAAAAGTTCTCTATGAAGTATTTTCTTTTTTTTAAATCTTTTATCTATCGTTCTATCATCAATCTGTCATTCTAAATAATAATTTTTTCTATAATTATCTCTTTTTTTTTTAACATGTTCTGAAATAATGATTTCCTAGCTTTTTTGAAGTAATAATTCAATCTTATAATGTAATGTCTACTGTGCAAATTTATTAGATTATTAATGGGTTGTAGCCATTCGTTCCAGTCGAAAATCTAGGAGCTAATAGTTGTTTACATCGACAATAATACATTTAATAATTTCCCAAATAATTTAAATATTTCATTTAATAATCGATGGTTCGCATGATATTACAGAGGGCCAGGAATTCAAATAAACAATCATTTTACAGCTAGTAGTCACAACAAATTTATTCACGTCTACAATATTGAATGATAAAACAAAGATTTCAAAAAGAAAAAAAAAAGAAATCAAAGAGATCCATTTCTAATAATAATGCACGCGATAAATCATCTTAACAATCTTATCGACGTTAATTTATTAATTTACCAAGCAAGGCGTATATACCATATACTTATACCTTGCGTTATTAATATAAAAAATAATAATAATAATAATAATAATAACATACGTATAGTTCAAATTTATTTTACTTCAATACAATTAATAAATAATTTAATTACGTTGTACTTAAAAGCCTAGAAATCATGTTCTTTCGCTTTATTACTTTTTTTTTTTTCCTTTCTCTTATCTTACGTTAAATTAAAACTGTCCGTATAAATCGATCATAATCGAATCCAGGATATTTCGAATTTTGCTTTACATACATCGTCCGTGTCAAAATTTCGAACGATATATATATATATATGTATGTATGTATATATCATTCCTTGTTCGAATTAATCAATTATCGGTTATTAGATCGGTGCATGTGAAATGTAACTTTCCTCGAATGAATGAAATGAAATTTTCGATCTGTTAAATTAACAGCCATGTTAAGAGGCTGGAAATCCTCCATAAATGTATGTTCAACATCAAGAAAAGAAAATTTAGCCACCAGAATTCTTCGTTAGAAATCAGAATTTCCTTACACGAAAAAAAAAAAAAAGAAAAAAAAGATATCGATGAAAACTGCAGAAAACAGAAATGTATCACTTGCAACAGATTAAAGAAATACTTTATCTCGCTCGAAAAATTTTCGAAAACAGTTGAAAGCACCTGAGAACACAATGTCGAGGATCATTCAGTTTTGGAATTGATAATTCACGAACATTCGGAATAATAAATCGTCGAAAATTATCTCTGTTGAAATTCACGATGTTGAAACTATATACTGTTACATGTGTGAAAAGCACCGATCTAATATCTCTGGGTATTATATAATCCGCGACATGAACGTTTTGTTCAGAACGAGAGAAACAATGTTTCTAGAGAAATTTGGACGAACGAGCGTCTCTTGAATAAAAAATGAAATACGACGTTTAAAGCGAAGGTTTTCCTCATCATCGTCGAGAACACATTTCATTTTTCAGTCATCAGTAATTCTTAAGCTTAGGCGAGAGTTATCTTTTAGAACACATAGACTTGATCACAATCGTATTAATCGTTAGATAATCCTCAACCACTTAACGTAACAACATTATATCTCGCGTGTACGATGTTCATTCGTTTACATATTCGACGTTGAGAATATTATTTATGAATTTATATTTTAAAATAACAATCGAGATTTGCCAAATGGCAAACGAGATTTATAGATTTATGTTTAACCCTGTTGCGTCCTTTGAATCTTCTTTTTTTTATTATTGAAAGATATATCAACTTTAAGTGAAAATGTGAGTGAAATTTCATGACTTTTTTTTAGAGTAATAAAAGTTAGTTTGACAAAAGGAGACGAAGATTTTTCTATGCAAAACTTAATCAAGTCTAAATTATAAAAAGCTTGAAATAATAGAAAAAAACATAGAATGAACTTACTCAATCAAAATATTCATCATTGAATGAAGAATTCGAGTTTTCTACAAATTTATACGACAACCTCCTACTACCTACTATGTTAATAATCAGCGTTCATCGCTGTATAAAGATTCTAAAAATTCACAACAGGGTTGAAAGTTAATCGCCTCTTTGTCAATCCAAAAATGAATCGATCTCTCTTGCTTTTGTTGATTATTTGAATACACGTGCTCGTTAAGAGGTCAAAGGTTGAAGCTTAACAATTAGCTCAGTCTACTCCTGCAAATTCATAAATGAACGATTCTCCATCTAACTGATCAAGTATTATCAAACTATCGCTAATCCAGTATAAAATTCCATTCGCCGTGCTGTCTAATGAAGCACAGGGTGCTCGACGAAAGAATTAAAAAAAAAAAAAAAAAAAAAAAAAAAAGACACTTCTTCGTCAAACAATTCACAACCGTGTGTTCTATCATAGAAACGCATCTCAAATACGCTTTGTACCATCGAATCGGACACGCCAGGCGTCGATCTCTTTCAATCTTTCTCGCTTATTACAAACTCGATAATATATGTATTCACGCGATCAACGCATACTTCAAAGGGAAAGAGAGAGAGAGAGAGAGAGAGAGAGAGAGAGAGAGAGAGAGAGTGGGAAACACATGAGAAAATACGCGTTCGCTATCGATAAAATGGAAGATCTTGGTATTAGACGATCTTAACTCTACTGCTACGGTCTTCGGGTTAGTCGAAGGCTTCGGTGATTAGTAAAGATAATCAATCAAGACAAATTAGTAGAATTAGATAGTTAGCAAAGGCAACAAATTGTTCTCGTCCTTGCATATGTCGGTCCTTGCAAGTCTATTTACGATATTACGATTTGTTTCTAGTAAAAATTTTTTTGCTCAAACAGAAACGATAGATCTAGAAATGAAATGACCGTTAACAAGATGTGAATTTTACATTTTTCAAAAAAAAGAAAAAAAAAAACACAACGTGCGTGGAATTTATGAACAGCATGCTGTCTCGTTTCTTAAACGTAATCTCGAAATTATTAATACGCTTGGGTGGATTTTTTTTTTATCTGACATTCCTGAGAAAAACCTGTGAAAGATTTGACTTGGAAACTATGATGCTGTGATACTATGAACGGGAATT